ATTTGCTACATTGCCCTTCTCTTCACCCAAATCAATACTTGTCTCTACCTATCTAACAGTGTTTCCTCCCCTCCTCTCCCACCCCTGGTAACCAACAAAGAAAATTTCCTTCCATATATAAACCTTTCCTTGACTTTCTACAATAACTGATTAATACAATATTTGTCCTTCTGTGATTGACTTACTCACTCAGCATAATGTCCTCCAAGTCCATCCACTTTATGTGGTGTTTTTCAGATTCTGTTATTCTTAAGGGTTGCATAGCATTCCATTGTGTGTACGTACCATAGTTTGGCTATCCATTCTTCAGTTGATGGACACCTAGGTTATTTCCACCTTTTGTCTATTGTAAATAGTGGTGGTGAACATGGGTGTGCATATATCTGTTCTTGTCCTGGTTCTCACTTCTTTAGGATATATATCTAGTAATGGGATTGCAGGGTCAAATGGTATTTCTAATTCCAACTTTTTAAGGAATCTCCATACTGTTTTCCACAGTGGTTGTACAATTTTACAGTCCCACCATCAGTGTATGAAAGTGAGAAGTGGAGTTTTTGATGTATCCTACAAGGTTCATTGCTAGGCAAATCTTGACACCAGAGTCAGACACATCTGGAATAGATTCCACTGAATGTATCTGATTTTTGTAGACAGGTGTCTGTGGACCTATGAGGTGGTGATTCTGCATTGGTGCTTTTCCTGGAACTTTGGAGTAAACAGTGTCAGGCAAAACCATTACTTTTCTTTACCTCTTTATTTTTCTCTTTTATTTTTGTAGGACATGTCCTTTTCTAGATCAATTTCTTTGACTCGACCTGGAAGCTCCAGCCTCTCAGGTGGGCCCAACTCTGTTTTGTACCGAGGACGGCCACCTGTGGAAGAGAAGAAAACCCTCTGCAAAGCCCCCTCTGTGGCCTCCTCCTGGCAACCTTGGACACCTGTCCCCCAGGTTGGGGAAAAGCTGCTTCCAGCTGAAGAGACTCCTGAGGACTCTTTGTTCATGACTCGACTTGGGGAGAGCAATAGTGCTGGCATGTTGCCGAGCTCGAGGATAAGGCACAGATCAGAGCCCCAGCACCCTAAGGAGAAACCATTCATGTTCAACCTTGATGATGAAAATATACGGACCTCTGATGTGTGATTGAGGCACAGTGCCATGGGAAGGAGGGGAGGAGTCAAGAGAAGGAGGCCATGAATTGGTTTCTCTACCTTGTTGAAGGATATATAGAGATACTTATGTTCCTGTGGATTGTCTATGGGAGGGGCCCATCCTGCTGGCTTTTTTTTTTTTTTTTTAAATATCAGTGCAGTGTATTTAATTTGGGAAAATCACTAGGTTAGACCTGTAAACATGCTCAGTGGAGAGCAGGTTGCCTTTTGTCGACTATTCCAAGATTTTCCTGATGTTATGTTAGCATCTCCTCTCCAGAGGAGGTTAGGAGTCCAATTTCACCCCTAACTAGGTTTTATTTCCTTGTCCTTGTTTGTGTTTCTTCATTTTTTTTTTCAGGCCAGGTCCCAAATCTTAGGCCAATCATCTGGTTTTGTTCTATTCCTGTTTATTGGCTAAAGTTTGACTGTGAAATAGAAGGGAAGGTAGTACCTTACCTGCTGAAATGAGAATGGCGGGTGTGGTGGAAGACTCAGGCTAGACTGGGATCCATTCTGAGGGAGGGGTCAAAGCCTGAAGATTGAGGCTAGAAGACAGCCCTCAGAATGTCTACTAGGGCAGACCTACCAGGGGACCTCATAAGGGAAGAGAAAGGGACCTTTTTTAAGGTATGGGGAATAATCCAACTCCAGTGCATTCAACAATTTTCAAAATTACTTTCTTCTCATCTAGATGCTCTTTTCTATATGTTCAAATACTGTAGAGTCCTCATTGGGACATGAGTTACAGACCTAACCCACCTAGTTTCTATGTCAGCCCCCAAGGATGGGTGTATCAGTGTTACATGTTATGGTTGTTGAGAACATGGAGTGTGTGAAGGATTGATAAGTGTATGACAGTTCACTTGTGTGATAAATCAGATCTCTATTTCAGAGTTTTAGATTAGCCTTAAAGCAGGTGCTGTGAAGAGATGGATTTTAGGTTATCCACTTAAGCTTTTTTGGTCCATGTTTTCCAGGTAGGAGAAAAGGTCTATTTTGGCAAAGACAGATTATCTTGAATCCTTGCCTCACAGCTCTTTTTTTTTTTTTTTTTTAAATGGGCCATTACTAGTCTATTTTTAAGTGCTGAGTATTTTATATTCTGGTAGATTTGCTTTTTTGTGTTGCCTTTTGAATGAAATCTTGTGCACATGCATGACCAAACCCTGATGAGGTTCTATGTGTTTAATAGCTAAGAGACACAAAAATAACCTTGGGAGATATTTATATTTTTAATAAAATAGAAACTGGGTATAGAGACATTAATTTAGAGGTTATAAGTTAGTGGCTAGAAGACTTCCCAGGTAGAAGATCATAGAAGATTGACTTTTCAACTCAAATTCTAGATATATCTTCTTTCATTTGATGAGAGATTATGAAAGAATTTGTCCATCCAATTTATGAGGCAAATTGAAACCAGGAAATTTATTGGGGTTCCTTATGAGGAGAAAGATCGTAGCTAATATCTTTCTATACTTTTTATCAGCTAGATCAATTATATTTTCCATTTAAAAATTAATGATGAGAGGAAGTGACTAACAGAAGCACTTTTATCTAAATAAATACCCTCCCCTCCTTTTGTCCAAATTTAGCATAACGTCTGAAAACAGTTGATCAGAAAATTCTTAGTAGCTTGAGAGGAATCTTCTTACCTTTCTTTTAGGCTGTATAGTTTCCTTGATCGCTCTGTCACATTGAGAATTTTTATTGTCAGTACTACATTGGGACTATCCTTAATTTAAACTTGCTTTGGCCTGGAGATTCTGGTATAAAAAAGAGAAAGCTACAACTGAATCAATCAGTCTCTCTCTTTTCTACAGATTCCTGTGTATTTTTGTCCTCAGAAATGCTCAGAAAAAATTATTTAATTCTGTGTGATCAAGATTACAACATACTTTAAGTAGCCTGATTTCAAGAAGCCATTCTGTATTCTTAAGGTGCTTTGTCTCTGGTTTTACCTTTTAAGTTTTCCTTGAGAAAACCTTAGGCTAGTCAAAGAAATTACACAATATGTGATGTTAAACTAATGAAAATAATTGAGGAACTACTGAGACCTCTCTAAACATTCATTGATTCATGAAAAGTAAGTAATCTTTTTTTGGTATTTAAGTTTGAAAATCTCTTTTTTAATACACTCTGCTAGATTACTACTGCTAAATTAATTGACCATTTATAGTAAGCTGATCTGTTTGATATCCAGTAGTCTATTTTGAGAATGTTTGAAATTAAACATACTTATAAATCCAGATTGATAGGAGGAAAACAAGGACTCTAATTGCGACAAGGACTCTAATTGCGACATAAGTGACAAACTCCAAATGGAAACATGGTTATTGTAATTTCAACATCAAATAAAATTATCTTCAGTGAAGCCATCTAAATGCATTCATATTCCCAAGCCTTATTTCAGAATTCCTTTTTTGCCCATATTTCTTATCTTCTGACTAGTTTCACACACCTGCTAATGTCAGTCAGTATACATGTTAGCCAGGGATGAAATGGAACCAAAATGGAAAGAATTCAAGAAGGTATACAGTATATGTTAGGGATTAAATGCATTGGCTCTGTAATAAATCTTGAGTTAACAACAAAAAATACACATAGGAACCACAAAGGTTACCATTTTCTTTGTGGAATATAAACCTTCACTGAGTTGTGCTGTTTTGATAAGGCTTTTGAGCTGGTTCTTGACCCATTACGGCTAACAGTATTTCAGGTAGTTTTCCTTACAGCTGAACTATTTACCAGCTATCGTTCTTGAAAGCTTTGAAGGATTTACTTAAAGTCAGTTGATAATTGGTCAAAATAGTTTTTTTTTTTTTTTGCATTCTGTGAGACATTAAGGAATACAGCATATAGAGTGCTCTCAGGTCAAAATTTTGGAGTTACACATCTATTTCTGAGTAGAATAATGAGCTCTGGTGAGAAAGAAAGTAGATTTTAGGTTCAGTGTCTTTATTCACTTGAAACAAGAGTTTTTCCTTTAATACTCTGATATGGGCTAAAATGACCCAATGAATAAGTAGTAGAGTTAGTTAGTCATAGAGCAGTGGGATTTGGTGTTTGTTCTGTTAGTCAGATAACAGGCATATAGAGGTAACAGCACTTTAGAAATTAAGTTTCCCAAATCAACTTTATTAACTTTGAACATGTCAGAAATGGACCCTCTTATTAAACATTTACTTTGGGCATCGCTTTTTTTTTTTTTCCCCCTTTTTCTGTTTTCCTGTTGTTGATGCCTGCAGCAATTACAGTCTCATGCTAGATAGTTTGAATAATGCTTGTGTCTAGCAAAAAACATACTGTTTGACCCCCTCTCCCACTGCTTATGAAGGTGTGGCATGATTCTGTGTTTTGAACCAGTATGTTTCAACTGTGAAATGCACTCACTGTAAGCACTGAACTGAGTGCATGGAAACTGTTATGCTTCTCATTTTATGTGATCTCCTAATTGGTATGTAGCAAAAAATAATTTTCTAAAACTGTTTTGTTGCTTGTTTTATAATAAAACCATGTGAAATACTGAAATATGGTTGTGTGTTTTCCTAATGCTGACCTTTGTCCTTGGGTGGGTGATCAGTCTGCCCCCATTATTGGTTGTGTGGATTTCATGTGGTAGGTCAGGGTAGGACTAGGGTCCTCCTTATATTGCCTGGGGAGGGGTGGGCCCCAGGGCCAAGGCTGCGGGATGGATGGGGGTGTGTGTGGAGAGGTCTGCCAGACTCTGCCCCTTAAAGTCCAGGGGTTGGCAGAGGCGGCACCCAGTCCTGGAGGGAGTTGGTCTTTTTCAGAGCTGTTGCGGGTCGAGTGGAGTCACTGGAAAAGTAGAAGCGAAGTAAAGGAGCAGGATGATTAGATCTAAACTAAGGCCAGCTGGGCTTTGGCAGTTTCTCCTGATGTGGCTGCTACTGCCTGCGGTGCCTGTGCCCAGGGTCGAGGCTAGGAGATCCAGGACCTCGCTGCTCTGCCCCGTGGCTTGTGAGCCGATGCGCTGTCCCCCACTGCCAACCTGCTCGGGGGAGATGGCGCCAGTGCTCGACCGATGCCGCTGCTGCCGCATCTGCCCCGCGGCCGAGGGCGAGGCCTGTGGCGGGGCGCATGGCCGGCCTTGCGCCGTGGGGCTGCAGTGCCGCGCGCTATTCAGCCCCAGGCGCCTCGGCGGCTCGTGGTTCGGTACTTGTGGCTGCCCGGAGGCGGGAGCCGCAGTGTGCGGCAGCGACGGGCGCACCTATCCCAGCCTATGCGCGCTCCGCGCCGAGAACCGCGCCGCGCGACTCCGCGGCGCGCTCCCGGCCGTGCCGATGCAGAAGGGAGACTGCGGCGACCCAGGTGAGAGGAAAACCGCGTCCGCTCCTGGGGAACCTCTTTTGAAGTACCTTAAGAAGTGTAAATAAACACGCAGTTCGCCGCGGGGGCCAGAGGCTTTATTTGTACCATATTCTTGTTCCTGATTTTTTTTTTATCAGTGCTTCTTACTGGTTCTCATGTGCTTTCTTTTCCTTTCCTCCTCACAACATTCGCACGCTTTTCCAACCAGGGGTGACAGGTCTGGTCCCCTGAAAGTATATTCTCACAGGACTACAGTGAATAAATAGGCGAGACCCCAAAGAGAAGTAGAAGGGAAAATGGATAGGGAGAGAGAAGAGAGGGACTGCGGCATTTGAGATCTAAGGTACCATACGGTAAGGAAGCGAGGTTCCCCACCGCACACAAGAATAGAATGCAGCATTTTCTTCACAGGGATCAAAAGGGCAGGCCGGCTCAGGAGCAAGTACAACTTTATCGCCGCGGTGGTGGAAAAGGTGGCGCCATCAGTGGTTCACTTGCAGCTGTTCCGCAGGTAAAGGAGGTAGGAGGAGGACGTCAGCCACCACAGCTGACTTGTTTCCCCGTACCTACTCTGCTCTGGTACCATAGTGCCTAAGGCACTTGACTGCTAACCAGAAGGCTGGCGGTTCAAACCCACCAGCCACTCTTCAGAAGGAAGGTTGGGCAATCCTACTTCTGTAGGGATACTGCCTCGGAAACCCAAGGAGGGGTCGCTATGATGGCACATAACAACAACACTCTGCTCTTTAGGAGCTCTGGTAGCATAATGCCTAAGGCATTAGCAAACCAGAAGGCTGGCGGTTCAAACCCACCAGCCATTCCTCTGAAGGAAGATGGGGCAATCTACTTCCCTAGTGATACTGTCTCTGAAACCCAAGGAGCGGTCACTACTCACTATGAGTCGGGTTCCACTCCATCACAAATAACAGCAACAACTCTGCTCTTTGCAAGAATCATTTAACGTTAAAAACCGAAATCGAGGTGCAGGCACAAGGATTCTGACTTCCAAATCTGGGCTACTCCTCTGTACTTGGGCAGTGTTTCTCCCTCACCTCTCACAGACCAAAGTTAAGGTCAGATGCCTTGTCTAGCCCCTTGTTTTCAGGGAAGGAAACCAAGACCCACAGAGAAGGAGTCATTTGTCCTGTATCACAAGGTCACTTCATAATGAAACCTAAACCAGAACCCAGACCTTTTGACTTTCTCTTTGTTCTGGTCCTCGATAGTATGTCATCAGGCCCCCTTTTGCCCAGAGTTAGGCTTCTTTGAAGCAGAGGGCCTGTAGGTTTCTGTACTGACCAGTTCTGAGGGGAGTAATTCCTGCAAATGGAGAGCGAGCGAGAACCAGTTTACAATATTTTGCACTCTAAAACTAAAGAGATAGCAAGACACTGCGTATGCAGAGCTAATTTACACATGGAGAAATGAAAACAGAGGGAAAAGTAAAATGTCTGAGAAAGCTGTGATAGAGGTATGTCTAATAAATATGTCATTCCCATGTTTCCACTGGTTCCCTTGATTTTCCTCGCCTTTGCTTATACTGTTTTGCTGAGACAGGTCACCTCTCAGCACCAATGATATTCCTGCATCCAGTGGCTCTGGGTTCATAGTGTCTGAGGATGGGCTCATTGTTACCAACGCTCATGTCCTTACCAACTGGCAGCGGATCCAGGTGGAGCTCCAGAATGGAGTGCAGTATGAAGCCACTGTCAAGGATATTGACCATAAGCTGGACCTTGCACTGATTAAGATTGAGCCAAATGTGAGTATCTGAGGGCCAAATCAGAGTCTGCATATTTGGGGTTTTTCATCAGTTTGCTAATATTTTCTCCTTCATTCCATTCCCACACTATCTTTTCTGACCATTATATGCCTTTTTCTAGTTTCCTTTCTTTGGCATTCTTTTCTGTTTTTCTTCCATGCCTATCTGTACATGATAACAATTTCTATTAATTCTCCTAAAGTTATCTGCCCTTCAATAGATGCTGCTTCTGGGGAAGATATTCTCTGCTTGCCATATTATGCCAGATATTACTGTGATTTCTCAATTGTAAATTTTCAAAGTTACTAAGGACTAATTTTTTTCCCATACTTTATTATGTATGCCAACCTCAGTTTTGTGCCTGTATTGAGAAATTATTTATGTTCTTTGAGTTGTAACTATAGAGCAAAAACTGTAGCATTCACTGTCGTACATGTAATTAATTATTATTATTATTTTTTAACAACAGCACTGCCTTGTTTTCCTGGGTCTTGGAAGTTTTCTGGTTTCTGTGACAGGGTGTAGTCTTACCACTTTTCTCTCATTTGTTTTAGTGGAAAATTTCTTTTCCTGACAGGTTTCCTCCTCACACAGGTTCTGGCTTTTGCAAGTTACTGTATTTTATTGTTGTTGAGCATATACACAGAAAAACATACACCACTTCAAGTTTCAACCATACAATTCAGTGACATTGATTACATTCTTCGAGTTGTGCAACTATCCTCACCCTCCTTCTCTTAGTTGTTCCTCCCCCACTAACTTAAGCTAACTACCCCCTAAGTTTCCTATCTACCCTTTTGAGTTGCTATTGTTAATTTGATCCCATATAGGCCTTAAAAGAGCACAATGCTCAAGGCAGATATTTTCTACTAGTTAATCTAAACTAATATTTGATTTTAAGACAACTTTGGTTAAGGAATACTTTAAGGTTCTTGCTAAACAAAGAGTAGCTTCATACCAGCAGCACTGGCATCATCTGGGAGCTTTTCAGAAATGTAGAACCTAAGACTCTACCAAAACTGACTGAATTAGCATCTGTATTTTAATAAGATCCCCAGGTTACTGTGTGCACATTAAAGATTGAGAAGCACTTTTCTGGGTGATCTCCTTTCTGTTTGTGGCCTGTTAACTATGACTATAAACTTTATAGCTGGACTGGTGCTAAGTAAATTGGCAATGTCAGATTCTGTTCATTAATTACTTCATTGATGGTTTACTTAATTTCTACAAAGCAATAATTTCAGATCTTAGAGTTGATACTTACCACCTTCACCATTGAGAGTTTGGTCATAGTTGGAATTTGAGAAAGAAGCATAAGGGAGTCATAGAATCTGTGTGGGTGGCTGATTCTTAGATTGTAAGTGCCAAATGATAGACTATGCCATATGTGTATTATACACAAATTTGGTTGATTCTGTTTTGATCTGTTGTTCATCCTTATCCTTCCCTACCCATGTGCAGACTGACCTTCCTGTATTATTGCTGGGAAGATCATCTGACCTTCAGGCTGGAGAGTTTGTGGTGGCCTTGGGCAGCCCGTTTTCTCTACAGAACACAGTGACAGCAGGAATTGTCAGTACTACACAGAGAGGGGGCAAAGAGCTGGGGCTGAAGGATTCAGACATGGATTATATCCAGACTGATGCCATAATTAATGTAAGTCACTTAGGAGGGCCATACTGAACCCATAAGATACAGGCAATACAATGAGATGAAAACCTGAGTGACTTCTTTTTCCCTTTGTCTTTTTGGGAATCCAGTGTTCAGTTAAATCCTTCTAAGAGGGGGGTGGAATGGCCCATTGTTAGAGTTCAGCCTGTGTGATGTGATAACTGGCATCTATGATTTTGGGTGGTCTCTCAGCATCTGTCAGAGAGGTCCACTGCTGTGATGGTCCTTTTGCTGCTGTTCTATACCTACACTGACTTCTGTATTGGTGATGGTGAGGGGGACACTTGCATACCTTGGAGGAATAGGGGTTCTCTAAAGCAGGCTGTTTTTGGTAAAGCTCTTTAGGAATTATGTATAAATGACAAGGAGAAATGCATTCATTGGCTTTACTGATGGCTTTTTTTTTTTCCTCCAAATTCTCTCTTCAGCATGGGAACTCTGGGGGGCCTCTGGTGAACCTGGTGAGTGGCCACTTTCCTTGTTGCTTCATATCTTTTCATTTCAAACTTTACAAATTCTCTTATGCAGACATAGGTGTCACTTTCATGTAGAGATTTGTGGAATTATGCTTTCCTATTCTTGGATTTTAGGAGCTCTGGTAGCATAGTGCCTAAGGCACTTGACTGCTAACCAGGAGGCTGGCAGTTCAAACCCACCAGCCACTCCTTGGAAGGAAGGTTGGGCAATCCTACTTCCGTAGTGATAACTGCCTCGGAAACCCAAGGAAGGGTCGCTAGGAGTCAGGGCCGACTTGATGGCAAATAACAACAACAACATTCTTGGATTTTAAATGAATGGTTAGGAAAAATTTAAGATCTGTGATGGGTTTATCATACTGGTGTGTGATCTCATTCAACTGACAGCTGCCAGGTTTGGGGCTTACTGTAAAGGTTTTCTTTCCAACATGCTTTCTGCTTTCACTGGATAGTTACTAAAATCCTGGGTACTAAACCTAGATTTATGACAAATGATCAATTGTACCCATGTAACGTATACCACTGAAGACCCCGTTGCCGCATACATCTAACCAAAAATGCTCTTTACATGCTATGCCTTGTCCAGGTTTTCAGTCTTAACCTGATTTTAGATGAGAAAAATGCCAAAACAAGAATCCATTGCTCTGGCATATATTTTATGCTTTAACTTTATTCATCTTCTCCAGTGGAAACAGCCAGTGTTTCCAGTTGCTCAAACACAAATGAAAACATAAGAGAATGCAATGATGTTTGACGTACAATCTGTGATAATGCCGAGTCTCTTTGAGCTGATTGTTTTTGGTTTTTGGTCCCTCTTTGCTTTTAGGAGGATGAATTATGTTTGAAGTAAGCACTTTTACTCATAATATTATATGTACTTTTTGCACCTGTTTTCGCCATTAGACAATGAGGTCTACTAGAATTGGGATGAAATGCAGAGTGTCATGCTACACCCCACACCTACTGAATTAGAAGTCTCTTTTCTATTTCTTCCATTACCTAACAAAGTAATTGCTAAAGGATGCTGAAGTACTTAAAGAATATTGCCTACGAGGGAGCTCTGGTAGCACAGTGCCTAAGGCACTTGACTGCTAACCAGAAGGCTGGCGGTTCAAACCCACCGGCCACTCCTCAGAAGGAAGATGAGGCAATCTACTTCCGTAGTGATACTGCCTCGGAAACCCAAGGAGGGGTTACTATGAGTCAGGTCCGACTTGACGGTACATAACAACAACAACAGCAGACCTTTGTTCCCTAACATCAATTTTGCCAGTTCTTCTGAATAATTACATTGAAGTGTTTTACTTTCATTTAAATAACAAAAAGGTAAATATTCCTTGCCCTATCATTTGTGTCAAAATACAAACTGTAGTTCATTTAAAAAAATTATTTTTTGTTGTTGAAAATGTACACAGCAAAACATACACCAATTCATCAATTTCAACATTTACAATTCAGTGACACTGACTACATTCCTCCACTTGTGCAGCTGTTCTCACCCTCCTTTCATGAATTACTCCGCCATTAACATAAACTACTTGTGTCCTAAGCAGGGCAATAGTTTCAGGGGTTCATCCAGACTCTATGGCTCCAGAAAGCCTAGATTTCATGAGAACTTGATGTGGTTCACTTTTAAAATCAGTGTAATTTAGAGAAGGAAATAATGAGCTCAAGATGTAAAAAAAAAAGTTCTCAACAACCTTGATCTTCTGACCATAAAAAATACACCTATTTTTCTTGCAAGTCCCCTCTGCTATTAGCCCTGTATCAGCTATCCATATAGCTCTCTATTCTGATTCTACATGACCAGCTTCACACCTTCCTATATTTGTTCTGGTCTTGCAACGTTCAATTTGCACACAACTTGTTGACTGAATGATGTCTTCTCCCTTTCCAGGATGGTGATGTGATTGGCATAAACACACTGAAGGTGACTGCAGGCATCTCTTTTGCAATTCCCTCAGATCGAATTCGGCAGTTCTTGGCAGATTTCCATGAGCGCCAGTTGAAAGGTGAAGGGAATTTGTATTTTTTTGGTCCCTCCTTACTTTATAAATATGGAGCTCTGGTAGCGTATTGCCTAATGTGTTTGAATGCTAGCCAGAAGGTTGGCAGTTCAAACCCACCAGCTGCTCTGTGGAAGATAGGGCAATCTACTTCCATAAAGTTTTACTGCCTGGGAAACCCAATGGGGGTTGCTATGAGATGGTACTGACTTGATGGCAGTGAGTTTGGTTTTTGGTATTTTATAAGGGCCCTCGATGATGTAAGTTGTTTGCTAGTGACTACTAACCAAATGATTGCCAGTTTGTGCCCACCCAGTGGTACCATGAAGAAAGGACTGGCAATCTACTTCTGTAAAAACTGTTGTTGTCGTCTTTGAGTCTGTTCCAATTTATGGTGACCCCATATGTGCAGAGTAGAACTGAGCTCCATAGGGTTTTACCTTTCACCAGGCCTATCTTTGGAGATGCTTTTGGGTGGGTGAGCACTTAACCATCTGCACCACCCAGAGACTCCCCATAAAGATTACAGTCAAGAAAACCCTAGGGAGCAATTCTGCTTTCTTAACACATGGGGTCACTATATAAGTCAGAATTGACTTCATAGCAATGGGTTTTTGGTGTTTCACAAGAGGATTCAATCTTTTGTGGAGACAGTTAATTGAATTCTCTCGAGTACTGGGTCACTTGTGCCCAGCTTCTATAAGAGTGGTTTGGGAAGCAAAATTAGATTATGCACAAAAACCAAGCATGATAGGCATATGAGCTGAATGACTGCATGAGGTCGATGCACTCCTTACAGCAATCAACCATGGCAGATTAGAAGGGCAGCATTTGTGCAGGGAGATAGCTGAGGGCAGGGATATATAGGTAAGAAAGACATAAGGAAAAGGTAACTACAGGGAAAAAGTGGGAAGAGAACTGTTACGTTGGGGAGACTGCAATCACTCTTTATATTTTCACCCAAATCACAGTTAAAAAAAAAGAAATAAAAGAAAAAAGAAAGCCCAAAACCAAACCTCAGATGTAACCAGGAATATCGATTAACTTACTGTGGAATGAAAACTCCTGGGCTGGCAGTGAAGGTGGTCGGTGAGAGGAGTCTATATGCTAATGACAAAGGTTTTCCTGTAGCATGTATTTCATGGCTGACAGCCTGAGAGGATAGCTATACTAGAGTAAGCATATTTGTGTGACTCAGGTGTCTTTTAAGCTATGCCAAAAGTAAAGAAGTTTTTGTTGTCAGTGACATTATAATCTTCTTTTCTTGTAGGAAAAGTCCTTTCACAGAAGAAATACCTGGGTCTACGAATGTTACCCCTTTCTTTAAAGTAAGAGAATATGTATCTGAATGTCTGGGTTGGTTTTCAGAAGCAAAACCCATAGCCATAGCCAAAGCCATAGCCATAGTACTTCAGAGAATTCAGAGAACAGTCTTAACAGGACAGCTAATGTGTCTGGACTACAGCTATGTACTCTCGTAACTGTAGGCCCAATCTGTCACAGAGTACGTATCTGCAACTGTGGTGTACCACATTAACTGTACTTATCAGTAGTTTCTTTCACTTTGTCTACAGTTTATAATATCCAATGGCTCTAGGCTCCTACATAGATAATCACACCATCCCCCAGGATAAAAATGTCATTGGCTTTTGTGAGCCTTGAGTAGAACAGCTAAATGTCCTACTAAGAGTTAGAAACTTTTAAGACGGCTCAGGCAGATTTATTGTGTTTCTGAATCTTATGAGAAGATTCTTCTCATTTCTCTCAGTCTTCTCCAAGAAATGAAAAGGCAGGATCCAGATTTCCCTGATGTGAGTTCGGGGGTTTTTGTATATGAAGTGATTCAAGGAACAGCTGCTGAAAGGTAAGAAAAGTGTGGGACTTTGCTCAGCCTCCTCTGTTCTTTAGGAATGGACACCATGGTAAATGTCTGTAGGATCTAGACTTACAGTACCCAATACAGTGGCTACTACTCACATGTGGCTACTGGGCACTTGGAATGTGGCTAAAACAACTGAAGAACTGAGTTTTAAATTTTATTTAATTTTCATTAATTTCAATTTCAAAAATAGAAGCAGTATAAAATCTTTTTTCATTACACACAAATTCTTGTTTTGGAAGGACTTTATTTCACTTGAATCACTGCATCCTATAAGATATTGTTGGAACACAAGAGGCAGGAGTGTTGTTTCTAGTGGCTTTCAAAGACTTACATAAAACAGAATGTAAAATGCTTCACTAGTCATTTTTAAATATATATTACATGATAATATTTTGGACATAATGCGTTAAATAAGACATATTATTGAAATTAGTTTTCCTTCTTACTTTTCCAAATGTGGCTACTAGAAAATTTAAAATTACCTATGTGGCTTGGATTACATTTCTATTGCATAGTGTTCATTTAGACTTGTGCATTTGTAAGGGCTTTTTTTTTTTTTTCCCTTTTGGAGTATGATGGTTCTCTGTAGCCCAAGAAGAGCTCATGAAACAAGTTAATAGCCTAAGTTTAAATTAATTTTGGTAGGAATTCCTAAATTTAGCCTTTCCATATCTTAGTTATTAAGAATGAGAAGAATGCAGAGGGCTGAAGACCCTTATTTTTATAGTCACAGTTAAAGTTTTAGTACATTTAAATACTTTAAAACACTTTCTCATTAAATTTGGATGACAGTATCAGAGGCCAGCACAAAGACCTAAAATAAAGCAAAGGCGACAGTAGTCCAGAAGGTTCTCCAGCTAATTTTACTGTTGTTTTTGAGACATACTAACTACTGAGTGAAGAGGTAGCTTGTCCTGAAAATGTTATTTCCTATTCTGTCTCCTGTACTTCTTCAATATATCTTGCTCACTGTTTTTGTTTTTCAAGAGCTCAATAATCTGTTTAGATTATGTCAACTTGTTTACTAGAGGGAAAAAAATCATAGGGTACTAACTGTTCAGAATAGCTAAGATAGGTGTCATGTTACTAAATTTGGCTTATCATAGGCTTTTCTAGACTTTCATGGATCCTGCCCTCCCCCACTTTCTTATTTTTAACTTCTGGTTCCAAGCCAAAGCTATTTCTTCTAGCTCTTTAAGTCCTCACTTCTCAAAAATGTGGTCTGTAGCCAGTAGCACTAGCCTCACCTGAAGCCTGTTAGAAATGAGGACTCACACCCTGCCCATCACCCACTGAATCAAAATGTGCATTTTTAGTAAGATCACCAACTGATTGTGTGCATTAAAATGTGAGAATGACTGCTCAAAGTCACTGAGCAGAAATCCAATCTTTCTGGCTTTCACCCTCTTACACCTATTAAGAATGGTTAACAATTACAGTAATTACAGCTCAGTTATTAAGCAGTTGTTTTTGTTAGGGGCCATTTCAAGCATTTTACATAGTTGAGTGAGCACCCAACAGTCTTATGATATAGGTATTATTTTACAGAGGATGCAGTCATGCCACAGAGGTTAATTAACGTGTAGAGTTAACAGAGGACAGGGATGCCCTTGAGCTTCTGTTCTTAACCCATGTTTTATCCTGCTTCTGTGGCTGCTTTTCTTATTTCTGAGAGGCAGAGTGACTTACTGGCAAGAAGATGAGGTTTCAAGTCAAAAAGACCCATGATCAAATTTTACTTACAAATGTGAGGGCCGTTGTTAAGATGTACTGCAAAATCACCAGGAGCACAACAGTCCTATTTACTTTTATAAAATTACTATCCTGTCAGAATCATCTGAAAGAAGGTCCTTCCATACAATGGATTTGGTTTGGAATGAAGAGTTTAGCTTCTAATCTCTACTAATCTCAAGCACACCCTAGGTTTTACAAGCAAGAGAACAGTTCAAACAATACATTTTCTGCAGATGGTTATACTGCAAGTTAATTAACCCGTCTGTACCTCAAAAGCCTTCCTCATCACAAAAGTATTGAGGGCTTACACCATTACATAAAGGACTTAAAACGGTCGGTCTCTCTCTCTCACACACACACATACACACACACACAGAGCATATCTCAAACACCTGCCTTTTGAGTTGGTTCTGACTCATGGAGACCCCATATATATCAGAGTATAACCATGCCCATAGGATATTCAGTAGCTGATTTTTCTGGAAGTAGATCACTGAGGTGCCCCTTTTGGTTAGCAGTCCAGTGGGCTAGTGTTTAGAAGTGTCGTAATATTATTAGCCTCTTAAAAGCTGTGTGACCTGGGGTTTATTTATCCTGTCTGAGCCTCAATTCCTCATATTTATTGCATAGTAAGCATGCAGTACTATATGCAGGTTTCTTTCTCTATTTGCATAATTACCATGAATTATGGTTTTTTTTTTTTTTTTTTTTGGAGGGGAGGAGGGTAGGCACACTGCCCTAGGTCATCTTCCTGAGGTATCCTTGTTCTAAAGCTGTCTCCTGCTTTTAGTTCTACATTCAAACTTCTCTTCATATTCTCTTGCTTTAAACCCCATATTTCCCATTTGTTTATGAACTCCACATACCTTGATATTCCTGAAACATTATTCTTCTTCTTTGGGGCCCCCATTTCTCTTAATGAGTGTCTCCTAGAGTCATTTATTTTGATGGTTTCTTTTACAGTGTATGGTCACCTTTAAGACAAATCATCAGCATGGTTATATAATTATTACATTTGGAGCTGGTTTTTGCTTCCAGAATATATACTATTCTATGTGAAGTTAATAAATTGGAGACTGAATATACTCACAACTTTGGGAAAAAGGAGCCTAGAGCCAAAGCCTTGAACATTTAGACTTGAAAGAGACTGGATTTTGATTTAACTGGAAACAAGGCTTCTATAGCATAGCGTAACAGCCTCCAGTTGCACAAACTATGGGTGCAGATGGGGCTAGTAAGTGGGCTGTCAACCACCTGGGAGAAAATATATTCCATGTACTGTTTACCTTTAAGACCTGGGGTGTGCTTGAGGTTAACAGAGGTCAGAGATGAATAGAGATTAGAAGCTAAACTCCACATTCCAAATCAGTTCCATTATATGTATGTTGTTGTTGTTATGTGCCCTCTAGTCAGACCTGACTCATATGGGAAGAGTAAATTATTTACATATGATTCTGGCAGGACAGTAATTTTATAAAGGTAAATAGGATTGTTGTGCTCTGGGTGATTTTGCAGCACATTAGAGCAGCTCTCATATTTGAAAGAATTGAGTATTATCTCTGGTTTCCTGGTTTGTATGTTTGATACCAGCTAAATAATAGTGCCTTTTAAAAGAGATGGACATAAGATTGGAAGTAGGGTAAGTTAACCTATTCTTCTAGTTTTTTTTTTAATTTTAATTTTTCTTTCTCCTAGCTCTGGGTTGAGAGACCATGATGTAATTGTCAGCATAAATGGGCAACCTGTTACCACCACAACTGATATTATTGAAGCTGTTAAGGACAGTGATTCCCTTTCCATCATGGTTCGTCGGGGAAGTCAAACATTGATCCTGACGGTCATACCTGAAATAATTAATTAAGCATCTTGCTTTAAAGAGAGATTATCTAACAAAACCAAAGCTGTATTACCTGGTTTATATTGAAGATGTGCCAAAGACAGCAAGGTATTTTAGGAACTCTTTTTTAAAAAAGAAAAATGAATGCTTTAAAATACACACACATGTTCAGGGATCATCAGGTTGGGGGTGCTATACTGATGCTAAAAAGCTTGACTAAGCAAACTGGAAGGATGTGGTGCCAGGAAGTCTAGGGAGCTGATAAAATTTTATTTAAAGATCAACAATGGAAAAAACAGGCCTAGTTCTTTATTAACCTGGATAGAGGGACTTTAGTATTTAAAATTCGTCTATTGCCACAAACTTGATGTAACATATACATACAAATAGATCTACCTACCAAATATTAAGAAACATCTTAAATTCAATAAGACTTTTAATAATATGCCTTTAGCTGTGGTGGTATAGTGGTTAAGGCATTTGGCTGTTAACCTAAAGGTCAGTGGTTGAACCTACCAGCTGCTGGTGGAAGAAAGCTGAAGGAATCTGCTTCCAAAAAGATTTACAGCCTTGGAAAAACCCAATGGGGATTGGAATCGATTCAAAGAGTGAATTTGGTTTTTTACTCAAATCAGTTTTTCAGGTGTGTATCTCATTTGGCTAGTATTTGTGTCTATAGGAGATAGGCATCTTTTAGAAATTGAATTAAAACTGAAAATTGCAGACTGCCAGACAGGAATATTACTGATGATTCTTTATCATTCATCACTCTAGGAGTGGAAACAACTTTGGTTTTCAACAGCTTTTCTGTGTGAAGGGTTTATTGTAGAAAATAGCTCTTCAAGAACTTGTAGACTTTTAGCTTTTTACTCACCACTTCCTCCTGGCAACATTAAGGATATCATGTCTCAATCTGCCAGTTTTTTTTTTTAATTTATTTAAAAAAAGAGCTTTTGGTGGGGTTTGTGAATAAAATTTTTTGAGATTAAATATATATGGTTAGGCAGGACCTGTGACTTATTTTGGGAACGATATATATATATATATATATATATACATACACACATCTTTGATCCCCTTATATTCTATGCAAAATTTTATGTGTATGTGCATTTTTCTGGGGAAAGGGTCCAGGTTTTTCATGACTCACAAAAAAATTTAAAAATACTGCCTTACAGCAGAAAGATTATGGGTAAGAGTCTTCAAGTTATATACTGTTATAAACAAGGTTATGGTCAGTGTGGTACAGAACCTTTAAGAAAGAACAGAATAATGTATTATCATTTTTTATATAATGCTACCATTTAACAATATAAGAACAAGGATCATATTAATCAGGGATAATAAAGCTGAAACTTTTAGGAAAGCTGTTACAAAATGGTTAAGAGCTATATGCAGGGAAATTATTTTAACTGTGATTCTTGGTCTTTAAGCTAATTATCATGAGCTTGTTTACCGTGTTTCTATAATCTGTTAAGTTTTCCCAAATAGTAGGCTTTTTGACTTGTCTACAAAGATATATATATAACTTAAACCAAACTCACTGCCATTGAGTCGATTCCGACTCATAGTGAACCCCATAGGGCTTCCAAGGCTGTAAATCTTTACAGAAGCAAACTGCCTCATTTTTCTTCTTTGGAGCGGAGCAGCTGGTGGGTTTAAACCACCACCCTTTTGGTTAGCAGCCAATTGTCTTAACCACTACACCAGTTGAGCTCCTTTTTTAATTTATATATAGAACCGTGAAATTTAACAGGTCTTTTCAACTTAGATGGGAAAGGATGAAAACCAAGTTTTAAAAACCAGTTACAATTTGAAACATTTCCTTTTATTCACAGTGATTTGGAAATGCACTCAGTTTCTTCTTGGCCCCATAAGCCACATCTTAGAGTTCTATCCTAGTATTCACCATTCTTTAAGGAAAAGTCTGTTTTATTCCCCCAAAGGGTATGAGGCTTCTCATTATCTTATTTATTCCTGAAAATTAGTTTTTACAATTATTTATATGAAATCTTTTTTTTTAAATCATGGGCTCCATAAATAATACTGATATTTAGCTAGGAAACATCTGTTAAGAAGAACAGCTCAATTCAGAGATGTTTGACACTGTTGGCTTTCAAAACATAATTGAAATGAACAAGTTACTGTACTGCATATACTGTCTCTGAAGCATGATAATAATGACACAAAAGGGTTTACTAATAGGATGGTTCATTTCAAATGCCTAGTTTTTAATAAATTTAATTTTGAGTTTCTTATATCTACCGCAAATACCCATACAACTTTCCAGGCTGGCAAGTATTTTTCTGCAATATAAATTCAGATTAAGTCAGAATTTCAGTGTGTATTAGAATCCATGGTCATTTCTACTTCTGCTGAAGAGTTTCCATTGGCTCAGCATCAGATCTCTTCTGCATGAAGACTCAAAGTCACAAAAGACATGTGGCTAAAACATTCATTTGCTCATCCTGTTGGGTCTACTTGCTCCAAAGGACCAAAAGTACAGCAATGCAAACAAAGAGAGGGTATGGAAACTCATCTGCAGCTTATAACTTTGTCATTATCCTTTACATGAAAAAAGGTAGAAATGTGATTCATGTAACACTGTCACTTCTAGTCTGCAAGTTCAATTTGGGTTGAAAACCCGAAGTCCAAAGAAGCCTTCCAAACCAAACTCATACCCTCCAAAGAGGGGAAGTAATAGATCTGATATCAAAGAAGAGTTTTGAGCCTATAGAGATGAATTCAGAAACAGAGCACTCAGCTTGCCTCCATGGGCCATAACAGCAGCTCTTTTTAGTAAACAGTACACCAGTTGCTGCCATCACTTGGCATCAGTCCTCCAGTAATGAGCAAAATAAGGTCAACAAACCACCAAATCCCAAGTCCTCCAAGTGTCAACAGCTTTCCTACTGCTGTGCCAGTGTGTCCCAGACAGAAGCGATCCACTCCAAAACATCCCAGGAAGAAAGAGTAGAGTAAAGTAGTTATGAAGTAGTGTCCAGTATACCTAGACAAAAGGAATGAAAAGGAAGACATTTTACCACATAAAAATAATTTAAGGTAGGTGAAAAGAGTGAAAGGCTGTGGCATCTTACCACCCTGTCCTCCCAGAAAAGACAATCTCTTTATGGTCTGGGGTTCTAAGAGTACTTGTGAAAATATTGACTTTTTCAGATTGGATTGGATAAGAAATTATGAAGCACATTTGCACAATAGTCATCCTGGTCAGAATGGCGTCCAGGCCCTTCCCTCTCCCCCATAAAAGTTCCATTCCTGAGGCTCAGTGGTCTTCTAAGGAAACACCTGTCTTTCCATAGGTGAACATTAGTTCTCCAAACAGCTTTCTTGCTGTTTTATAATGTTAGCAGCTAAAAGCAAAGAGTTCTTCATGAGGCCTTTTGTCTTTACACATTGTAATGACACTCAGTTCTGGGTGCTCTAATATTATCACTAAACATAGCTATAGGCTCTTATCATTAGCAAATGGTATAAGTAAATTCTGTGCTTTCAAGTGAAACTTATAGTGACCTTGTGTTTCAGAGTCCAGCTGATGTTCCATGGGGTTTTAAATATGGCTGTGACCTTTTGCAAGTAGATCACCAGGACTTTCTTTGAGGCATCTGTTGGTGGATTTGAACCCCAACTTTTCAGATAGTAGCTAAGCCCTTACCCATCTGCATCATCCAGGGACTCCTAATCCTTTACCTTCATAATAAACTAATTTTTTGGGAAGAGGAGGCCACACTTTTTGTAAGAAAACCTTTATCTCTAAAATATTAAGGCAATTTTCACAGGATTATGCCTATGATAGGAATTTCAGAAGTAGATCATCTGGTCCAACTCCTTTATTTTGTAGATGAGGGGATAGAAACTTTACAAAGGCACTTAACTACTTAGTGGGAAGGACACACAGAACTCATGACCTCTGGTCACAAGTCCAGGGTCTGCTCTACTGTAGCCATACTGCTGCTGTGAATGGATTGTGTACAGCAATAATCATGTTCGCTCTAACACTTAAAAAGCCAAACCTGCAGCCATTGAGTGATGGCTCCAACTTTACCCAAGTACCAACTACTCCAAAATAATACTTACTTTATGCAAGGTTTATTCCCTCGTAGGAAGGTCCTAGGACTGGCACACTCAATTCCATCTAGGGCCCGGCACAGGACTGAAGTGTGCTCCACATCACTGTAGGCCTGACCACCAAACTGTGGAATAATAGCCCCCACCCCCAAAAATAAATAAAATAAAACCCACTGAAAGCAAGTTAACACAAAATACATCTTTATATTCATTAATAAAATCTGTCTCAGGGCTATAATTACTATAACAAAGTTGAGGTAAAACTGTGCTCAAGAGCAAGAGATTTACTGACTTCAAGTTGTTTTCTGGTGAATCCATTCTAAATGTACCCTGTCTTCAATAAATTTTTTCCTTCTTCTTTAGGACTGGCTTCTTGAGTTGAAAAAATATTGAAAAATTATTCATCCTAAGTTTTATTAAATACCATTTAGAGTAAATGGACACAATGCATAATTGTTCTACATTTGTAGATAAAGAACATATTGCTGAGCATTTGGGAATGGGTATTTAAAACATTAAAGTGCATTAGAGGTCTATTTCTTTTCTTTTCTTTTTTTTTGATCGTATTAATATACTGTGTTTTTAATATAAATCAAAACCAAAGCCCATTGCCATTGAGTCCATTCTGACTCATAGAGACCCATAGGGTTTCCAAGGCTATAAATCTTTATGGAAGTAGATTGCCTCATCTTCCTCCCATGGAGCAGCTGGTGGATTTAGAGGTCTATTTCCATGGAAGAAAGATGGGGCAATCTACTTCTGTAAAGGTCTACTGCCTTGGAAACTCAAGGGGGGGTTGCTGTGAGTTGGAATTAACTTGATCGCAGTGAGTTTAGTTTTGGTTTTTCATACACTATAAATTAACAAAATTAGGAAAGAATTCAGGGTATCATTTGATTCAGGAATTTAGTGAGGCTTATGAATGTGGTCCAGCTGTGTAGTTCATCTATATTGTAAGTTTAAATTCCAACAAAAATTTCAGAACAGGGCCTCTAACCCTTTGTTTAACTGAATTCTAGCAGAGAAAACATAGCTGTAAATTTTCTATGGCACTGTAATAAGTGCTTTACTGAGTTGGAGCACCTTCAAAGGGAGTGGATTGGGAAGTAAAGATGCTTGTTTCTCCTCCTTCCTTGTGGCACTCAGGTGTCTGAGTACAGACAGTCCTGTAGGACTTCTTGGTGAGGCAAAAGTAAGTATATATTGCCTTCTTCAAGTGCCTTGCCAAGATAAACCTAGTTTTTAATTAAGACGGACAAATTAAGTGAACTCTATGTTGTGTTAACTCAAACTTTTATTGATTATCAGTAGAACAAAAGTTCATGGTATTAAAAATATTTCTTGAAACAATGTTATCTCATGACATGGATAAACTCTCACTGCTGTCGAGTCAGATCCAACTCATAGTGACCCCTCCTTGGGTTTCTGAGGTGATATCACTATGGAAGTAGATTGCCCTACCTTCCTTCTGAGGAGTGGCTGGTGGATTTGAACTGCCAGCCTTCTGGTTAGCAGTCAAGTGCCTTAGGCACTGCGCCACCAGAGCTCCCATGAACTAAGAGCCCATTATGCTGAGTGAAATTAGTCAATCACAAAAGGACGAATATTGTATGGGACCACTATTGTAAAATGTCAAGGGTTTCATCTAAAAAAGTATTCTTGGATGGTTAGTAGGGGTGGATGGAGTGACTTCCAACCAGCAGGCTGGTGGTTCAAACCTACCAGCCACTCCTCAGAAGGAATACTAGGCCATCTACTTCCACAGAGATACCAAGGAAGGATCACTATGAGTTGGAATCAACTCGATGGCAGTGAGTTTATGGGTGGATGGAGAAGGGTGGGTAAACTACTAACTAAAGGGTATATACACATATTAACTTGGGTGAAGGAATTAAAATAAATATTTACAGAAGATTTTAGTAAGAGTTTCCTTTTTGGTCTTATTACTGTCAGGTTTATTCCTTTGTGTCTAATTTAGTCTTTTTTTTTTTTTTTTTTTTTTAAATGTTATCCTAGGAGATTAGGACAATATTTGGACAGGAAGATAGCTCAGAGGCAGGAATGCATAGGAAAGAAGGACACAGGGAAAAGGTAGTAACAAGGAGGAAGAGGGAAGAGAACGGTTCTGTTATGGGGATTGTAATTGATGTTATAAAACAAAATGTGTATGAACTGCTATATGGAAAATGAATTTGCTCTATAAACTTCCACCCAAATGTCTTTCTCTTTCATACATACACACACACCACACACAGTTATCCCATAATTCTCTAACACCTAGCTCAGTTTTGACTTGCTTTATGTAGCATAATAAAACTTAATGGTGTGTCTATGGGGGGCAGGAGACACGTGAACTTCACTGGTTTTTGGGAGATTAATTGAGGAGTATACTCTCTTTAGGGATATTATTAAATGGGAGTGAAATGGCTTTCCATTCCAAGAGGCCACTGTAACCAAAAGCTTTTCTTGGAGGACTTTATACCACTACCAGCTGTCAGAGTCAATTCTGACTCATGGTGACCCCATGTGTGTCAGAGTAAAACTGTGCTTCATAACGCTTTCAATGGCTGCTTTCTGGAAGTAGATGACCAGGTCTTTCTTCTGAAGCATCTCTGGCTGGACTTGAACTTCCAGCCTTTCAGTTAGCAGCCACATGTGTTAAATCTTCCTGTCACCCAAGGACTCCTCGAATGCTTTAGCCTCCTACAAAGACATCTACTGATAGATCCTATTTATTTCCTAAGGATATGATGGAACCTGCTTGGTGAATAGAAAGGTCACCTGAAAAAGCAGCTTTACCCTAAATGCATGCGTAAGAAAGATACTGCCTAACTCATCATCAATTTTAGAAAATGGACAACCTTTCTTTTTCTCTAACAAGAAAAGTACATGCCTTAAAGGACAGTTGGAGTGGCACTGTAGCTTAAACCTGTCAATCTCAATGGTTAAGGGAACTCAAGAAAGATTAGTCTTTGCATCTGGGTAGTTCTGGCACAGAGGCTACTCCTCCAGCCATTGATCCTGGTCCTGCTGGAAATGCTAGTAACAGTTTTTCTGATGAAAGTCTACAAAAGAGTAACTTCGTATCTCATATACTTCTGTACAATAACATTTAACCAGTACTACTTCTCCAGGAGCTCTGGTAGCATAGTGCCTAAGGCACTTGACTGCTAACCGGAAGGTTGGTGGTTCAAACCCACCAGCCACTCCTCAGAAGGAAAGTAGGGCAATCTACTTCTGTGGTGATACCACTTCGGAAACCCAAGGAGGGGTCTCTATGAGTTGGGGCCACTTGACGGCACATAACAACAACCACCACCACCTTAGAAACCCAAGGAGGGGTCACTATGAGTTGGGTCTAACTCAATGGCACATAACAACAACAACTTCTCCAGAGAAGAATCTGTTTCTAAAACAAAACAAAAACCCACCTTGAGACAACCATGGCCAAGTTCTTGGGATGCAGTTGCATTTCCAACATGATCCACTGGGTCTTCACATACTATAAATTCATCAGGTCTGTAAATCACCAGTAAGATGATCATCAAATTGTTTTTGCAAATTGCTGTTTACATGTACATAATCAAAATAGACATGAGGCATTTCTTTACCAAGTTTTCTGGGGGCTTAATTTCACTCTGTAGACTCTTCCCCATTCCTAGAGGTGGTGGCAATTAGACTGAAGTGCAACAGTTCGAACAGCCTTCAATGACCCTTTTATTGGGGGTGAAGTTGTTTCCAGTCCTATTTCTAAATGGATTCTACTTCTACCCCCCTGCACCTGTCCAACCCCAAGTACTGGATTCTGCCAAGGTTTCATCTCTTCCCTAGGCAAACAAGCACAAGGTTACATCAAACGACACCAAACCCACTGCCAATGAGTCAATTCTGACTTACAGCCACCCTATAGGACACAGAACTGCCTCACAGGGTTTCCAAGGTTGTAAATCTTTAAGGAAGCACACTGCCTCACCTTTCCCCCACCGAGGGTGGATGGTGGGTTCAAACTGCACACCTTTTGGTTAACAGCCCATTGTTTTAACCATTCCACCACCAGAGCTCCTTACCACAAGGTTAAAACCTAACTCGCTGACATCCAGTAGATTCCGACTCATAGCAACCCCTTTTGGGTTTCCGAGGCGGTAAATCTTTACAGAAGTAGATTGCCCAATCTTCTTTCCGTGGAGTGGCTGGTGGGTTTGAACTGCCAACCTTCTGGTTAGCAGTCAGATGCCTTAGGCACTGCGCCACCAGAGCTCCACCACCTGGTTAGAGGGGCAAAATTTTAGCCATCGGAGTCCCTGCTTTCTCTTCAATTGTCAAACAGTTTTTCTTTTTGGCCAAAGAGATGTTAATAAATGACTTGGTTTTGGCAATGGTAAGGAAATTGCTGTGTCTTTTAGGTAGAGACAGTTCATTTATTTCGTTTGTGCCTTAGTACCAACTTAGTACCACAACCTTAGTACCAATGGGCTACTAGTCCATGAATTCTCATTTGGCTAAAGGGGATGGAACAGAGAAGGCACAACCTCGTACCCTTTTTCCAGATGCTATATGAGTCAGTCTTCTTTTCTCCGGGTTGCAGAGGATCTGCCACCCACACACAAGGTATTCCCCTGCATGACACAAGAAGACTGAGAAACCTTAAGTGGAGAGGGTCTGAAAAAAAAAAGCAGCCTTTCTCCCTTCCCAATACTGATATATCCCTGCCCCCATCTCCATTTCCACCCGCCTCGACGATTGGGTAGCTTACAGGTAAGAGCAAAGGATGACTGGAGAGTGAGGGTCGCCATATTCCCAGCTCGGAGTGCCGGCGGAGCCCTCTGGGTGGGCAGCACCAGAGGATGTAATCTCGGGCTCGTAGGTAGTATTCTGCGAGTGGCTTCGAGAGACACAATGCAGCAGAAGTAGATTTCCCAGCAGTAAAGCCGCCTGGCCGCACAGAAGTAAGTAACTCACCGGGCAACCACCCAACACCATCGTCCCAGGCCAAGCGGCGGAGACCCCACCTCAACCACAAACTTAGGCCGGTACTACCGAGCCAAACCCTCCGCTGCCAGGCCTTTCTGCGCAGCCCCGCTCCTTGCGCCAAACAGCCAATAGACACGCAGCTCGACGTCCCGCCCTGTCTTGTCCAACCAATCAGAAAAGGCCGGGAAGGTGGGTGGGGCTGAGTTTCGCTTCCGCTTCTCTATTCCTCTATTGGGTTTCACGCCCCTCCTCTTTTGCTTCCTCCAGCACAAGCAAGAGTAAGGGGGCGGGGCGGACAGTGAATGGGCAGGGCAGTCTAATCGGGACTTTGCGGCCAGTTTGGAAGCCCCATTATCCCGCGGGGGAATGGATTTTTCCTTACGTCAGCGTAGCGAGGTCGGGAGCGAGCTCGGACCTAGAGCCGACTTGCGTCAGTGCCGCGCGCGTGCTCGTTCCCGGGCGCGCTCAACCCCGCCAGCCCTGGGGCCCGGGTAGGGTTGGAAAATGATGGAGGAGGCGGAGGCAGAGGCGACGGAGTGTTGAGTGGAACCTGCGGAATCTGCCGAGATGGGGTCGGGCGTGGGCTCGTCCTGTGAGATCCTCAGCTTCCAGTGGCTGCTGTTGTTTGGCCTGCTGGGTCCAGTCCTCGGCGGGGCGCAGCGAGGTGGGTGTCCGCCCCCAGGGCCCTGACAGGTCCTTTGGGATTGTTGTTTCCTAGGATTGGGGTGTTTAGAGTTCTCCGTGGTGCCAGGGAGTGGAGAGGCCTGGCCTCGGACTGGATCTGGGGTTGAAAGGAGAAGCCACGACTGATGTGTGTGGACGCCGCTCAGACTCGGCACTGCAAACCCCGCTTCGTCGCACCGTTCTATCTGGGTCCTTTTTCTCCTTCTATTGCTTGGCGGGAGCCTTTTGCTGTGAGTTCTACTCGCATCTTGCTCGGCGTCGGGTCCCTCAGACTTCTCCCGACCATAAGGAGCCAGACTCTAATCTCAGTGTCTGCTGAGAGCCCTGGAGGCTGGCTGCGCCCTCGGAATGTGTGTATGATAATAATGATAAAAATGCTTTGAGCAATAAGAGTTTTATCTTGCCTGTGGAGTTAATGTCACTTGAAAGAGACTGGGATATGAAACTTTTGCATCAGGTTATCATCATAATTTGAGATTTTTGTCGTTCATTGTATTAGTGGAGTCATCAGTAAGTAGGTCTACAGACTTATAAATTAGTGATGGAATAAAGAGGGAGACTAATTTTTCTTAGATCATTTTGTTGTTACAGTAATATTTCTTTCTGGAAACTAAGTGCTACATTTTTATAGCCTAACAGCCTTTTATCTGTTTTTGCTGGGATTGCAGTATTTTAAATGTGTACAAATAATCGCTGTCCTGCTTACAGGATTATGATAAGAATTATATCATTTATACGAAATCATTTTTGAACTAGAAAACTTTCCGTGAATATGTTATTAGAGATGCCCGAACATAGTGGAAACGAATCGTCAACACTCTAGCTTCTTTATAGAAACGTCTTTATTTATTTTGGCTCTTGTATTAAAAGATTGCATGCCTTTATTTTCTCTATCAATGATAGAAGTATAATGGAGAATTAAAAAAAATGAAATCATTACATTGAGAGTTGTTCAAAGGCGTGATGAAAGGTTTCAATAAGGTTTCAATATTGGACAGCTGACCTTCAGGAAATTAATACGTATTTTCCCCCTTATCTTTTTTTTTTTTTTTTAAATTAAATAAATAAGCTCCAGTGTGGAAATTTTGAAGCTCTGAGTACCGAAATTTTATTGAATCAGGGGTGACCGAATCTTTACTGGTTAAGACTATTTACTGTGATATTCTAGATAGTTAACATTTACTGGTATGTAAGGTGAAATATATTTTGTTGTTGTTATGTGCCGTGGAGTCGGCCCCGACTCATAGCGACCCCTCCTTGGGTTCCCGAGGCAGTATCACTACGGAAGTAGATTGCCCAACCTTCCTTTCTAGGAGTGGCTGGTGGGTTTGAACCGCCAGCCCTCTGGTTAGCAGTCAAGTATGCTACCAGAGCTCCTGAAACATATTCTATGTGTTTGCAAATACAAATAACATTATATTTTTAATGTTAATGACTATCAGTTATTATGTGCTAGTGGATTAAAATGTCCGCCTTTTCTGTTAGCAGTCAGGTGCTTAACCATTGTGCCACCAGGGCTCCTTGATGTTGTTACATACTGCAAATAGATAAACGAGATATCCTTAGGTTCTTTAACTGTGACTTCAACAGATTATGATCATTCCCTCCCTTAAGGGTATATATATATGCTTTAGAAATTTAGCAAAGGTTTATTCAACTACTATAAACACCATGCTCAATGCTTGTACAGGTAGAAAGGGTGACCAAATGTGCTAAGTTTGTTTGAGGGATGTTGGGAAAAGTTTTATGGAGGAAGTGCTATTAAACTGGGTATTTATTGTTGAGTTTTTCAAGCAAAATGGTAGGAATGCATTGTAAGCAGAAGAAAGAATTTTTGCAAGAGTATGGTGGCACAGTAGTTAAGGCATTCAGCTGCTAACCAAAAGGTTGGCAGTTCAAACCCACCAATCGCTCTGCGGGAGACAGATGAAGCAGTCTGCTTCCCTAAAGATTTATAACCTTGGAAATCCTATGGGGCAGTTCTGTTCTGCCCTACAGATTATTATGAGCTGGACTGGACTCCATGGCAGTGGGTTTGGTTTTTTTATGGAGGAGTGAGAGAACTTGACTTATTAGGGATTGATGAGAATGTCTATATGCTCTAGCCAGTCTGTGTATAAGGGAAGGCTGGAAGATAAAACTATGGATGGTTGGAACCAGTTGTGAAGCTTTTTATTGTCAAGCTAAGGAATTTGGACTTTACCCTGTAGTAGTGCTTTGGGCAGTGAGAAATTTTAAGCTTGGGTGTGACATAACCTGATTTGTGATTAAAGTAACTGATAGCACAATTGAGGACAGAATATAAGAGGCTGGGAGACCAGTTACAGTTAAGAGGCTTTGTAACTCAGTTTTCCTAGGGGAATGTTCTTTCCAAATCAGCTGACTAAATTTTTGCAATACAGGATGTTTAAAGCATGCTTTGAAACATTTCCCGTTAATGAAAGAGGAACATGAGGATTCAAGTACCACCCACACATTAGTTACACTGGGAGTTAACTACATTTTGGTAGAACTGTACTACCATTTATAACGTGTCAATGAGGAAATACAGAATAAATTCCAAACTGTTGACTAAACAATGATTTCTTTTTCTAAAACAAGGATAGACAAAGGTAACTTTGTATCATTGTGAAAAATAACAAAGGGAAATCAGGCATGGAACCTCTTCTGATCATTTCTTTTAAGGTAATAATTATGATGCCCATACTTAGAAATTTATTTACAAAGGACTAGTATTCCAAAGGAAGTAAGTTTGAAAGTTTACTTATGGTGAATCACACTAAACAATGAACTATGTAGGAAGAACTTGACTTTAGATCCACGATTAATCCTGTTTTTAGATGCCAGCAAATTATTGCATTTGTTATGTTTGTACTGTACAGGAAAATGTAGTCTTTTCAATTTAAAGACAGTTTGATTTTTAAACTTTTAGTAACAAAACATTTATAATAAAAATATTTATAAAACAGATTTGCTGGACCTCAAAATCATTTTCAAAAAGCACGTCAAATTGTTAACTTATCAGTTTGACTTCATATTTATGTTGACTAGCTCTTTGTTAAAAAATTAGCTCTCTTATAGGATCCCTAAAAAGATGCAAACTTCAAGTGACTGGAATCTTTCTCAGAAGGTCCACAAACTCAAATATGTGACATAGATAGCTTTATGATTTTTCTTTCTTTCTTTTTTTTTTTTTTCCTTTAATACTCAGTATATACTGGAGATTTAGAAGATTGCCAGTCTTTGAGCCAGTGCTTTGGGACTGCCTCATAAGTGACTCCAGTCCTCTTGGTATGTGTGTCACTGTTGTTAATTGTTGAGTCATTTCTGACTCTTGGCGACCCTATATGTGCAGAGTACAACTGCTCCATGGAGTATTCAAGGCTGTGAATTTATAGAAGCAGAGTGTTAGGCCTGCCTTCCCAGGCTCTTTAAGTGTGTTTGAAATGCAACCTTTTGGCTAGTAGTTGAGCACTTAACCATTTGCACCATCCAGGGACTTCCTGTCAGTAACCACATTTTGTTACCCATTCATCTGCTGAAGGGCATTTGTTCCCATCTTTTTGGTATTGTGACTAGTGCTTCAGTGAACACTGGTGTACATATATCTGTTCCTGTCCGTACATTCAGGTCCTTAGGGTACCTAACCAAAAACCAAACCATCAAACTCACTGCCGTCAAGTTGGATCCAACTCATATTGACCCCTCCTTGGATTTATGAGGCGGTATCTCTACGGAAGTAGATTGCCCAGTCTTCCTTCTGAGGGGAGTGGCTGGTGGGTTTGAACTGCCAGCCTCTGGTTAGCAGTCAGTTGCCTTAGGCACTGTGCCACCAGAGCTCCTACTAGTTGCCAAAGTATTACTTATATTTTTTCTACTAGGAGTTTTATGGTTTTAGTTCTTATATTTAGTTATTGATCCATTTTGAGTTAATTTTCATGTATGGTATGAGGTACTGGTGTAACTTTAAGGTCTTTTGCATGTGGAAATCCTGTTGCCCTGGCACCTTTAATTGAAGAGCCCATTCTTTGCTATTGGATAGATTTAATAGCCTTGTTGAAAATCAATTGTCCATATATGTATGGTTTTGTTTCTGGATTCTCAGTTCTATTCTATAGGTCTGTATGTCTATTATTACACCAGTACCAGACTACCGTTGTTTTATAACTCACTATCATCGAGTCGGATCCGACTCATAGCGACCCCTCCTTGGGTTGCTGAGGCAGTATCACTACGAAAGTGGATTGTCCAGCCTTTCTTCCTAGGAGTGGCTGGTGGGTTTGAACCTCCAGCCTTACGGTTGGCAGTCAAATGCCTTAGGTACTACACTACCAGCGCTCCTCTGTTGCTTTATAGTATGTTTTGAAATCAAGATGTTTATGTTTATCTTAACATTATAAGAATCAGGATATATTCAATTATAATAAGTAAAGAAAAATGATGTCACTATGTTACATTGTTGTTGTGTTGTGCCATTGAGATAGTTTTTCCTCACGGTGACCCTATGTATTACAGAGTGGAATTGCTCCATAGGGTTTTCTTGGCTGTAATCTTTATGGAAGCAGATTGCTAGGCCTTTTGTTCTGTGATGCCACTGGGTGGTTTGAACTGCCAGTCTTTCAGTTACCAGTTGAGTGCAAACTGTGTCATCCAGGGACCTCTAGTAGATATTATACTATAGGAAATACATCATGATTGATACTCCTTTCCCTTTGACATGTTTTGTTTCATTGAGATTTTTCATGCTTTTACTCGTTTTGGCATTAGCCTTATGACACATTAGAATCCTGTTGTGAGTTTGTTGTTGTTAGTTGATATGTAGTGGGCTCTGACTTATGGCAGCCCCATTTACAACAGATTGAAAAGTTGCCTGGTCCTGCAGCATCTTCACAGTTGTTGGTATGCTTGAGTCCATTGTTGTGGCCACTGTATATTTTGAATGTCTACCAGCCACTCCTCGGAAGGAAGGTTGGGCAATCT